CTGGGCCGGCCACGGGCATCGGAGCACGCCATGAGCTTTGGCATCGTGGCCCGAGGGGGGGCTCTTGTCCCCAGCCGTGACCCTGTCGGGGCTGTGGCCCTCCCGCCGCAGGTGCTGCGCAACGACGTCCTGTCGCACGCCCGCACGGTGCAGTCGGGAAACGAGGCGGGGCAGGGGCTGCTGCTCTCCAGCCTGGGGGACGCCGTGGACGGGCTGCAGTGCAGCCTGCAGCAGCTCAACCAGCGCTGGGACCTCGTGCGCAGCGAGACCGAGAGCCGCCAGCTGGAGCAGGAGAACAACCTCAGCCAGGTACAGGCCACGGGCCACATGCTGGGCCACCGCCGGCTGCGAGCAGCACTGCGTGGCCGTGGCACTGGGGTGCACCGCAGCATCTTGAGGGCCCCGAGCTGTGGCAGGAGCCTGCCGTGAGCCGAGGCAAGGGCAGGGCGTGGGCAGCCGGGACCCTGCTGCGGTATTGGTGCTGGTGCTGGTGCCGGTGCCGGTGCCATGGGGCCGGAGCTGGTGCCGTGGGTCTGGGGGCAGCTGCAGGACCCCCCGACATGGCGCCGGCCTCCCTGCAGGTGCAGGACGTCATGCTGGAGATCACCGACCTGCTGCAGTGGCTGGAGCACGTGGTTCTGCGGCTCTTCTTTTCCAAGCCAGCCTGGGGTCACCCCGACACCACCAAGGAGACGCTCGCAGCACACCTGGTGAGCAGCCCCAGGCCCCCGCGTGCGCCCGGCCCCCCACCTGCCAGCGCGTCCTGCCAGGTCATCGGGGGAGCAGACAGGCTGGGCGCTGGGCCTCTGGGCAGCTCCTCGACTGCCCCTTCCCTGGCTGGGATGCTAGAGCCTTCCTCCTCCTCCTCCTCCTCCTGTCCCTGGCTCGGGGCTCCAGTGATGCCCCCGGGCTGCTGTGCCTTCCCTCTGCAGGAGCTGTGCAAGGAGATGGAGTCAAAGCAGCAGGCGTACAATGGCGTGCGGGACCGGCTGCAGCGCCTGCTGGCCTCCTGCGCCGCGGCCCGGCCCTGCAGCACGGAGCACAGCCTGCGCATCCTGGAGCAGAAGTGGGAGAGCGTCCACGCCGAGGTGCAGGAGAGGAAGGTGCGTGTGGGTGTGCACTCCTGTGCGTACTGCACGGTTGGGATCACGTTTGCATATGCCTTGTGATAGGACCACGTGTGTGCCTGTGTGGCCACGTAAGTGCCCCTTGTCTGGGCTAGCGTGTGCTTATACATATGTGTCCTTTGGCTCAGGCTGTGGGTGCCTGTGTGCTTGTGTCTGCCTCCTGGATGGCGTGTGAGTGTATGTACGTGTGTGCACACCCACCTGCTGCCTGGAGGCGTGTGCTCACGCCTGTGCCGGTTGGCTGGCACGCGTGCGTGTGTGTGCAGGAGCGGCTGGCCGAGGGGCTGACGGTCTCCACCGAGTTCCACAGCACGGTGCAGGAGCTGCTGCAGTGGGTGGCGCAGACGGACGAGAGCCTGAGCGCGCCCCCGGCACCCAGCTTCGTCCTGGAGACCGTCATGCAGCAGATCCAGGAGCACAAGGTGAGCGCAGCCTGTCCTGCGCCAGCCCTTCCCGGGGCCGTGCCGGTGCCCGTGCCCGTGCCCGTGAGGGCCTCCCCCGGCCGGCTCAGAGCCCGGGTCTCATGGCCCACAACGTGCCCCTGGGGCTGGGGCTCGGGGCTCGGGGCTGGTGGGCTGCCCCAGGAGCTCCGGGCTTGCCGAGGGCTGGGAGCCCCGCGGGGTGCCTACGCCCTGCAGGTAGCGATGCCCATGTCTGTGCGGCATGGGCGAGGTGCGGGTCTCGCGTCTCCCGCTGCCCCCGTCGGGGTGTGAGGCCCAGCTCCTGCTGCGCTCACAGCCCCGGCTCCCGGCAGGTGCTGGTGAAGGAGGTGAGCGCTCGCGGGGAGAAGCTGGCCGGCCTGGAGGCTGTGGCCTCGCGCCTGAAGGACTTCAGCCGGAAGCAGGACGGCGCGGTGGTGCAGAGCCTGGTGCTGACGGCCAAGGAGCGGCTGGCCAAGGTGCTGCAGCGCACCGCCGAGCGCGGCACCGCGCTGGAGGATGCTCGCACGCCAAGCAGGTACCGCAGCCGGGCGGGGCCTGCGCTGGTGTCTCCACAGGCCTGTGCCCGCAGCCCCTGACTCCCCCCCGTGCCGGCCATTTCAGTTCAGCGAGTCCCGGCGGCTGCTGCTGGACTGGATGGACGAGGCGGAGCAGGCGCTGGAGGCCCCCGGGGAGCCGCCCGGGAGCCAGGAGGAGATCAAGTGCCAGCTGGCTGAGCACAAGGTGAGGTTTGCTCCGGGCTTCGGGCCGGGGCAGAAGGGTGGGCAGGCAGGCGGTTGGATGGATGGCGGTGCCCTCTGGAGCAATTGCCAAGGGCAGAGCTGGCATCCTGGAGCTCAGCACGGCCCCAGCTTCCCACCACCCCATTGCACCTGGGGTCTCTCTGCTTGCACGCGGCCTCCCCGGCCCCCCGGAGCAGCAGGGCAGAGCTACGGTCTGAGGAGCTGACCTCTCCCCCACGCGCAGGACTTCCAGAAGGTGCTGCGAGCCAAGCGGCCCGTGTACGAGGCCACGCTGCGCAGCGGGCGCGCGCTGCGGGAGAAGGCGCAGCTGCCTGAGGACGCGCAGCCACTGGAGGAGCTGCTGGGGGAGGCGCGCTGCTGGGGCAGCTGCGGGAGCGCTGGGACGGCCTGAGCAGCCGTGCCGTGGAAAGGTGAGGCCGGCGCCGGTGCTGGGCTCTGTGGGCCAAGACCCTGCCGCTGTGCACCCCATGGCTCCCCTCGGCCCCTACCTGTTGCACCTCCACGCCTCGCGACCCGTGTGCCGCCCTGCCACGCACCCGACTGCACTGCCTGGTCAGGGGCTCTGCCCCACCAAACACGCACACATGCAGGTACATGCACGTATTTGCATGCGTGCACATGCACACATATCCATGCAAACACACACGCGTGTATTTGCATACATGTGGCACATACTTTCATGCACATGCATTCCCACATGTACTTGCATGCCTACACACACACACACACACACATACTCGCATACACATATAATGCACATACTTGCATACCCACGTATGCACTTGGATGCACACACATGTATTTGCATACACGATGCACATAGTTGTATAGGCACATATTTGGATGCACACACACACATTCTTGCATGCACGCACGTGCATACATACGTGCACATTCTCCCCGCCCATGGCAGGGCCACAGCTCGGCTCCCCGTGCCTGCTCGCTCACCCACGCCCTCCCAGGTCGGCCCTGACCCCCCTCCCCTGGCAGGCAGCACCAGCTGGAGGAGAGCTTGCTGTTCTCGGGGAAGTTCACGGACGCGCTGCAGGCGCTCATGGACTGGCTGTACCGGGCCGAGCCGCAGCTCTGCGAGGAGGCGCCCGTCGGGGGCGACCGTGACCTGGTCAGCGACCTCATGGACAAGCATAAGGTCCGTGTGCCCCCTCGAGCCTGCCCTGGTCCCCAGCCCGAGCCCGTGGGGCAGGGTAGGGGGAAATGCCCCGGCAGGGACTGAAGCGCCCGCCCGGGGAGCATCCGGCCAGCTCTGCCAGGCGGTGGCCGTGACTGCCCGGTCCTGCCGCCCGCCCGCCCGCCAGGTGTTCCAGAAGGAGCTGGGCAAGCGCGCCAGCTGCATCAAGATGCTGAAGCGCTCGGTGCGGGACCTGACCCGCGGCAGCAGCAGCGCTGACTCCCAGTGGCTGCAGAAGCAGATGGAGGAGCTGAGCACGCGCTGGGACCTGGTCTGCAAGCTCTCCGTGTCCAAGCAGGCCCGGCTGGAGGCTGCGCTCCGGCAGGTGAGGGCAGCCGCGGGCAGGCGGGGCGCGGGCCGTTAGTGTCTGTCTGTGCAGGGAGTAGCCCCCGGCCCACCGTGCAGTCAGAGCTGACGGGGCAGCGCGGACGTCCTGCCTCAGCCCCGGAGCCGGCGTCTGCGGGTCAGCTCAGGCTGGGAATGGACGTTGCGTGTGTCCCTGGGCAAGTCGTGGCTTGTCCTAGAGCAGAAATATCCCGGGATTGGCACGTCCACACACTGCCTGTGTAGGCAAGGCTTTGCTGCTGTCCTGCCTTGCCCCGTTGAGTCAAAGCCCCCCACCTGGGGCAGCCGCTTGGGTGCACTTTGCAAGGTCCCAGGATAACGGGCCGGCACTTCTTGTCCTGGGAAACATGCTGGGATTTATCCCAGGGCAGCTGCCATGGGTGCCTGAACACTTGCCCTCTGTTCTGGGGTAAAACGGTTTGTCCCGGGACAAATGCGATGTCTGCGTGTAGCCCTGGTCATGCCCCGGCGGTTCCCAGCTGGGCGCGAGCGCTGCTCCCAGCAGAGCCGTGGGCCCCATGCGCTGGGTGTGGGGTCCCGGGGAGGGGCACGGGGTGCAGGGCACGGCCGGGCCCATGCGGCTGCTGTCCCGCGCCAGGCGGAGGAGTTCCACACGCTGGTGCAAGCCTTCCTGGGCCGCCTGTCCGAGTCGGAGAAAGCCCTCAAGTACGGCGTCTTCCCGGAGGAGGAGGCCGCGGTGCAGGAGTGCCAGAGCCAGCTGCAGGTGAGCGCCCGGGCGGGTGACCCTGCGGCGGGGCTGCGGCGTGCAACGAGGGGTGCACGCGGGCTGCTCACGCTCTGGCCTCGCAGCCCCGGCTGGGCGCTGGCACTCGAGTGGGGCCGGGTGGGGAGGCAGTGCCCGGGCAGGGGCCTGGCCCCATCTCAAATGCCTGGTGACGGCCACAGCCACAGGCCTCAGGCCACGGTGTCGCCAGGCCCCGGAGGAGAGACGCCGGAGCTGGGGGCCTTCTCGGTGCCCTCTGAGCGCAGGGCGCTGTCCCTTGTGCGGGGGTGGCTAACCCGTTCAACCCCAGGGAAAGGCAGCCCACAGGTGGGAGGGGAAACTGAGGCAGGCTGGCACAGAGGTCACCGCGCCCTCCCACGTGCCCGCAGGAGCTGATGAAGACGCTGCAGTGCCAGCAGCTGGAGCTGGAGTGCATCGCGTCGCTGGGCGAGGAGATCCTGGCTGCCTGCCACCCTGACGCCATCATCACCATCAAGTCCTGGATCA